TAGTACAGGTAGTCCTTGGGCTATGATGGGAATTGGGACCAGGATTGCCGTCGCTAAGTGATGTGTTCATAAAATACGATGTCATGTGACTCATTATTCGGTGGTGGCAATCATGATAGTCCTTGTTGCCATTTAACCTTGTGCAAGTCGTTAAGCAGGAAGAGGCAGGACTCCCAGGTAAGGAGTATGGAGGATGGGGCAGGTGCTGGGGAGTGCAGGTGGGCCAGCAAGGGTTGCAGCCAGGTGCTGGGAGGCATGGGTTGGGTTGGCAAGGGCAGGTCGGGGGTGCTACAGAGTAGAAGATCCCAGGGGCTCTGTAGTCGGGCTCCTCAGGAGAAAAAGTGGTGGGAATGATTTACAGGAGTGACTTGTTCTCTGCCAGCTTCCCCTTTGCTTCTGGAAAGCTGGCAGGGAAGGTTGCAAATGGCAATCATGTGACCACAGCTTGTGAATGCAGGGATGCTGTGATGGCCACAACTTTGAGGACTGGTTGCAAGTCTCCCTCGTTCAGTGCCGTTGTAATTTTGAACGGTTGCTGAATGAGTGGTCATAACCCAAGGACTACCTGTTATGGCTTTACTGTAGTTTTTAAATTAAATTATTATTAATTTAATATTAGAAATATTAGGATCAAATTGTATAGTAACATGTGCATATGTAATTTTACTAAAAGGATAATAATATAAGTGGTTGTGATATATTTTAGGACCAAGACTAAATAATTGAAATATGTAGTTGCTATAGTCTGAGATACCTTGTTTTAAAAAAACAAAATTTATTCTTTTCAAAACAGGAAATGAAACTGTGACAATATCACCAACAGGAACTCTTCTATTCCGACATTTCAAATCTTACATGAGTGGAATTTACACATGTTCCCTAGTGTTTAAGCCTACTACTGAACAAGAAGAAAAAAGTTATTTAATCAAATATGTTATTTATGGTGAGATAAATAACTCTCCTTTTATGCTTTTCAATGTTTAATTGGTTTGTCAAAATTATATAGTGAAATTCACTGCATAGTTAAACGTGTTGCTGCATTTGATCTTTAATCAACTAAATCAGAACAATTGGTATTTAAATATCCTTGCATAGAATATATACATAAGACTATACATTTCCCCTAGTTTTTTTCTTCTTTTAAAAATGTAGCAAGAATACTAATTCAGAAAGTAGAAAAATAGCATCTAATTTATAGCTCAAATATTAGGGGTAAGCAGAATGTTCCAGCATAAGGTCATGTTTCAAGTATTTGGCGTTTGTAGCAAAACTGAGTTCTAGAATTTTTTCTCAGGCTTCAAATAAAACATTGTGTGATTTAGAGTTTTCTCTCAAGTTTGGATCAACATGGAGTGCTTTGTTCTATATTTGCAAAGGTTTCCACGTCTTGCAGTTGGTTTTATGGAGCTTGAAGCTATGGAGCTATATTTATGCAGTTTCAATCACTGCTGCCATTGGCTGGAGATAGTTAAACACATTTCTGATATTGAGAACCATTTTGGAGATAGGAAAAATACTGCTGCCTGCCTGATAAAATATTTCCTATGAGGTAGTTTGAGTTTATGCATTGTGTTCAGTGTGTGTTGTGCTGTCCCCCCCTTTTTTGGGGAGGAGGGTTAGGTTTGGCCAGTAGCTGGCATTCATGGTTGCCATACCTACTTCTGTGGTCCTAGAATAAAAGACAAGGAAGGAAGGCCTAGTGTCAAGTCGCCATTATTCCATATGGCAGAACGTGCAGAATGTTTTGAGTTTTTCATTAGGACTAAAGCTGCTTGAAACATTTTGAAAGAACAGAATGTTTAGTTTATTAGTTGTTTAATTCTAAGTTTGAAACAAAATGTGGGCTTTGTTTGTTTCATGTACACCCTATTCAGTATTGCATAATAATATAAACATAGTGCACCCTAAAATCAAACTACCTTTCTTTAAAATATTATTTTCTTCCCTTTGGAGGAGTATTTGAATAACAACATTTTCGTTCTATACTAGAGAATTAAGAAATCACTGCCAAAGTTTGTACTATGGTTGGATTCAGATAGAATGATCTTAGGCAATTAACCATAGCGTGAATAAATTATATATCTGCATACTTCCTCTTTAAGCTGCCCCCTCCCCAAAAACTTGCAGGTTACTGGCATTGAGATGTATTTCAAATAGTTTCCTATTACATCAGGACAACTAAGTTTATTTAAACCCTCTTCTTAGACTTTCAGATTTTAGTAAAGAGGAATTTAAGTTGTATTTTATGTCAGTCCCACTAGGTAGATGGACCAAGAGATCAACTCCACAGGAAGGCTAAAGCTAGTTTTATTGAGATTGGCTATAATAACAAAGTTATGCAAGTCCGATTGTATGGTATCGCCTCCCCCTCCTTATACTCCATTGAATTAGGGAGGCATCTGTCTGAGCCATTTCTGAACATTATCTGGACATGTGGACTTAGAAAATGTTTTACCCCTTGTTGCCTTGACAGCAGAACTTGTATATCTCTGTCAAGATCATCTTCCTTACTCTACAGTTTCTGAGTTTAGATAGAAATGGAAATTGTGGTTTAAATAAGCCATGGATTTGGATGGTATATGTATCATGGAAAGGCAAAAATTAGGTTTTAACAAGGCCTAAGACTTAATAAGTTGTGCCTTGATCATGATATAATATGATTTATTTTTATTAGGGTTTTTTCCCCTATTTATGTATTGGTTGAATTGGTCCAACTAATAGAACTGTTCCCTTTGTCTTCAGTTAAATGTTATTGAGCCCTAATTATTTTAAAATAATATACAATGATTGTTAATTAATGGTGCTAAAAGGTATCTAAATTTCTCAGAAACATTTAATTCTTTATCTGTTAGGATTGGGCTACTCTTAGAGAGTAATATTTACTCTGGCAACAGTTCTTATTTTCCATATGTTGTAGGGGCCTTCTTTGTTATGTAAAAATTGTTTCTTGAACTTGGGTCTTGCTTTGGGCAATTCATTACCTTAGGCATATTAGTTGATACTGTTATAGAAATTGGAGTGAAATTAAGCTCTATCATAGCGGAACAACTCAACAGGTCTAGCTCCTTGGGAAATTAGGGTGTCCATGCTCATTGATCCCTTTTCTTAGAAGGGATTTTGTGAGAGTGGTGGCAATTTTTAATCTCTTCTACTCTGGTAAAAAACTGCATAGAGGAAATACCAATAACCATGGATGAGCTAAGTCAGGCATTATTTATTATTTATCCTATTCTCCAGTGTATATGGAAATGTCTGAATGTGCTGTTGTAAAAATTGGACACTAGAGGGAACTAAAGATTAAAATTAAAGGAGAAGAACACTCAAACTCGACTTACAATTACAGAATGAAGCAAAATATTTTAACATTGGACATACTGAAGGATATTTTTGAACAATGGAATTAAAGGAGAAGAACACTCAAACTCGACTTACAATTACAGAATGAAGCAAAATATTTTAACATTGGACATACTGAAGGATATTTTTGAACAATGGAACCAGAAGTTAATTTTAATAGTGTCTGCCTCTATAGATAGACTGTGTCTAAAAGAAGTTATGGAAGAGGAACAAGTCCTACCTGACAAGATCAAGACTCAGTTGAAAGTGGATTTAAAATGCCAGACTACAAGAATGACATGGAAAAAGATGTTACACTGACATACAAAAGAAACTGGCTGATGACTTAATAATTAAAAGGGATATACAAACAACAAACCAAGAGAGTAACCTGGATAATTTTCCTGTATTGGATTTACAAAAGAGGCTTCTTAAAGTTTTGAAGAATTTTGTAAGAAGGGACAAAGAAAAAATGAAAAGAAATCAAGTTCTATGACATTATTTGAAGGGATTAAAGATTAAGATTGTTAGAAGTAAAAGGAAGGAATATAAAGTTGGTTTATTTGTTCAAGGTTAAAATAGATATATTAAAAAATGAAAAGAAATCAAGTTCTATGACATTATTTGAAGGGATTAAAGATTAAGATTGTTAGAAGTAAAAGGAAGGAATATAAAGTTGGTTTATTTGTTCAAGGTTAAAATAGATATATTGATAAGAGATGGGATATGGGAAGAAGAGATAATTTGTTTTATTTTAAGAGAAGATGATAAGTTACTAAAATTGTTGATACTTGTGATGAAGGTGGGAAGTCACTTCTTTATATATTTCTTTTTTTTTTACTATATTATTTTTTTTCTTTTCTATTTCTATTTTTTCCCTTTTTTCTTTCTTTTTTGCATTT